ACACCGGCGTGTTGACGTGTTTCTTAATAATAATGGAGAATAGAAACTAAAATAAATAACATAACAAAAACTTTCATTTACGTAAATCTGCATAGGTAATTCTTGTAAATAATTGTTTCACTTAAACACATCATCCTTGGTTTGTGACCACAAATTGGCTTCAGTGACTTCTCGTCGTAACCGAGGTACAACCGATAGTCGGGGGTTCGGCAGTGGGTCTATGAAACAAACTCGCTAGGTCGACAGGACCACGCAGTCACGCAAATTCAAACAAACGGGCGCGTTTCGCACTCGGCGCACAGCATGAACACAAGCGGCGAAGCACAAAAGCAAAGTTAGCTCGTATGACTGCCAGAAAAATGTGAAAACACACAAGACATGGCTTAGAGACGGCGGCTGCACGGTAAGTGGGGCAAATCTTCTCTAATGGCCACCGAAAACGGGGACAAAAAACATCGGACGCGGAATGGAGAATCCGAACGGATCCGGAAAGACTCTACTGTAACTCGAGACTTAAAACAATAATGTCCAACGGATTTTGTCCGGCGAACACTGCAACGGGTATCAGTCGGACACAAAAGCACAAATTAAAGAATATTAGGTAGTGCAAAATATGAAACTGTAACTTTGAGTATTTATAATATCACGTACATATATTTATTGAATATGATTGTACGATATCGACATAAAGTTATTCACAATTCATCGAATTTATTTATCTTAGCATTAAATTTTATAAGAATGTCAAGTCTCTCTAATTTTTAAACTTACAAAGCTAAACGTGACCTACGGAGCATACAATTTGATATGTTGTGCAAATGTGAGACGGAGACAACAAATGTAAACAAATGTCCTCTTAAGAGAATATATCTGAGCAATATTTGTTTTCTCACTCAAACCCACTCACATAACGTAGATCAACTAAAATTGTTTTTCATAACTATCGAGTAATCTTAGAATGAAATCAAAAATATTCGGGTATTCTAGGCTTGAAAAGAATTGTTCTTCGCGGGCATTCAAATATTTAGGTATTTTGTAACACTAACAAAAGTATTGACTAATATTGACTACAAAATAAGTGTTTTTTTGGATCTTATATCCTAATTACATACAATTATATATACTTTACAGTTCAAGTTTTGATTAGATATATTCAATGAAATAACAAATTAATTAATTAATTAAAGAACAGTAAATTATATAGTCGAAGTGTAAAATAAATACGTTAACCGGGTAGGTAGTTATTTTACACATATTAATACTACATTTAAGTGATAAATCAAATGTAAACATTGTTTTTTTGTGAATTTACTATAACCACAACATGAATATTTCAGTCATTCGATAAGATTGACATCGTAGACGTCACAAGTCCTGTGCACGTCAGTCACATGCAATGTCTCTGTGACATATAAACTATTATGTATTATATGAAAGTCATATTATATGATACATATGTATCTAATATATATTCAAAATAAATACCTACTATAATAGGATTCAAAATTAAATTGTATGTAACGACCAGATAGTCAACAATATTTATTTTGAGTACAAAAATCAGCATTTGTCTATATTATCTATACACGCCTAACTGTGGCATTTAGTTATACTATGCGCCTATGCAGGGATATTGATAAATCGAATATTTGCATGCTAACGAAGTACAGTTGATTTTTTAGTATCGATGCATCGATTTGTCGATTTCGGACGCAGCTAGCTTATTAAAAAGATACATTGGGACCATAGAACTTATACTAGTAAATTGGTCTAGGACTGGGACGCCGGGTGCAAGTAACACCTATGCACCGTTATCTTATACCTTGTACTTAAAAAAAAATGATAAAAATCTGCTCTCATTAAAATAAAGACTTTAAATACCTACTATATAGTACCTATGCAGTAGATGACGTAAGTCCTCACTTCAGTCCTCATTAAATTTATCTAAACTTAATATTGTGGTATTTACTCGATTGCATTCTCAACATATCATATATACTGTCAAAGACGTAAATTAAGGAATTAACTTTAACGAATAGTGAATAACGATATTTCAGATAAAATATATTAGACTGTATACCTAAGATATTGAGTAGGAAATATGTGATTACGTAGGTACGTATACTTAAAAGAACAAAGTCTTCCGGGTATCTAGAAATACTATAATTGAGCGCGAGGATTATTTTGAGTAAAATATAAAATCAATTATAATATACTTATATGACTTTCGTCAAATAATAATAATATAACGACATTTATGGGCCGGAAATTTTGGATTTTATTTTTGTTATCTTTATGTACAACAGTTATACCGTCTACCGACATCATTTTATCAGTGTTATGACATTAGTTGGTATGAACTCTGGTTTAAGAGGTACACCGAGCACCACGGATGAAGTCAAGTTAAGTGAAAGAAATTAAAGTGTCGATCGATGGATACAAATTTCGTTATCATAAATATTTATCGAAAAATCACCAAGGAAGTTATTTTTTTTAAGTTTGACGGGACTCTGCTGGTATTAAAATATGAAAAAAAAATAAACAGAAATTATGAACAAGAACAACATATTGAGCTAGAAGAACATACATTTAGGAAAGTATCACAATTCAAATATCTGGAATCGATTATCATTTATCACTCAAGATAATGAACTTAAGACAGAGGTGTCGTCAAGAATACAATTAGCTAACCAGGGATATTATGGACTAGAAAAAATACTAAAATCGAGGACACTCTCTAAAAATTTAAAAATAAGAATGTATATGACATTATTACGACCTATTGTCCTGTATGGATCTGAAACGTGGGCATTGAGGAAAGTCGAAGAACAGAGACTAGAAGTATTCGAGAGGAAAGTTTTAAAAAAAATATATGGTCCGGTCTTTGACAACAAATGAATGGAGAAAGTTACATAACGATGAATTAAAAAGACAGTTTCAGAGACCTGACATAGTTAAGGAGATCACAAAAAGAAGACTCATGTGGGGGACAATGCCTGGCGTAAACAAGGATCTCTAGTTAGACAGGTAGTAGAGAAAGAACCAATAGGTAAAAGACCTCCAGGAAGACCCAGATTGGGCTGGGAAGACTGTGTTAAAAAGGACTTAAAAACGATAGATCCAGGAATCAGATGGAGAGAAGTTGCAGAGAATAGGGACAGGTGGCAAGATTTGTATTTAGCGGCATGGTATTAAAGGCCGAAACCAAAAGATGAAGAAGAAGAAAGAGATTAAAGTGTCGATCGATGGATACAAATTTCGTTATCATAAATATTTATCGAAAAATCACCAAGGTAGTTATTTTTTTAAAGTTTGACGGGACTCTGTTGGTATTAAAATATGGACTAAATTAGTACACACGACATAGGTGCTTTAAGACAACTCGGGACCCAATTCGACCTAGAAGATTTTGTTGGGACTAAGATCGTACGCAGCCAAAAAAAAAACGCAACCCGATTGAGCTCCATGAAATTTAGGTGTTGCATTTTTAACAATTTTCCAAATCACTATTTATAAATATTAATACATGACATTTCACATATACATTTGTCATTTTTTTTTCATAAAAGTATTATCCAAACACGTATAAAATGAAGTAATGTGCAGTTTTTAAATTTCTATGTGTAAGTTTAGAACATCTTATATCCCCGTTTTTGTCCGTCAGTTCGTTGGTTACTGTTGTTATTGCTGTTGATATCAAGATATTTATTTATTTCCGGTAGTTACGATTGTTTGAAACTATACATACATGTTTTTATAACTGTTCTATTCTGAGTAAATTCATACTAACCAATGTTAAAAATATCAAAATATGAGTATTTAATATGGAATATTATGGATAGCCAATATTAAAAATAGTCGTTTCAATAGGTACCAATAAAAATATAAGGGGTACTGGATTCCTTTTTAAATTAACTATTTGGAATTATAGTTTATTGCATTGTATTAAAATACGTTTGGAAACCGGGAATTTGGCAGGCCCGTAGAGCAAGCTTTTCTAACTTGTTTATTTGTAACCAACTTTATTGAGTTATTTTTTGTGTGTTTCAACAAATACTATTATTTAAGAATACGTAATTTGTAGTTTTTTATGTAAGTTATTAATAGTTTTAAATAGGTAGTGTATTGTGTGTACTACTTGTGTCATAATATGAAACAATTTTTGACCAAAGCAACAATTTAATTTTGTCGTCAGTTCTATAGGGAAAGAAAATTGTTAAAAGGACAACGCCTATAATATAGTTCATGGATCTCAATCGTGTCTTAATGTAAAAAGTTAAGACGGGTGCAATCGTGCTGCAACAATCCTCGACACTGTTCAGCGAGAGATAGAAAAGACCCATCGAGATTGCAGTTGCTTCGGAGGACTTACCCGAAACTACACATCTTCCACAGAAATAGTATTTATAATCAATGCTACTACCCAGCTGTAAACAAATCGAAATCAATAAAAATATTTCAATGATTATTTGAATCAAAATATTAAATTATAGGTGATACATATTTTAGTCTATTAATAGTAACTAATTGTATTTATGTATATTAACAAACAACAATAAACAAAATTATCTTAGAACTTATTCTTTACAACTTATAATTTACCACTTAAATATTGTTACCACGGTGCATTTAAAATAATTACCAAAAAGCATTTCTAAATGAGACAAGGTTTGTGAATTTACACGTTTTACATGTTTAAAATACCTTGTTATTTTTCTAAGCACTTAATATATCTTACGATAACTTTTGTGTTACACAAATTGCCTAATTTATTATGTTAAAATGTAAATCATTTTTCACACTCGAGTGTTAAATACTACAATATTTTGTACATAGTATGTATATCTATACTATATAGTATACACCACTAATTATTATTAAGTTATATTTTTTTAAACTGTAATTGTTATTAACCGATTCCCCACTATTGTGATGATGCGAAAATGTGAAGTGTTACTATTTTTTATGTCATTCAAACTTCTGTATTATTATAAAAGTGCTCGGTCTTTAAAATGTTATTTATTTATCGCGTGTATACTGATGAGTACCTACAATTTATTTAATGATGTATTAAACCGAAATGATACGTTTAAATTACACTACTCAGTACTTAATCATCTAGAAATCAATCACATATAGATACAGAATTATTTTAGTTACTTTTTATTTTTTAATGTTATACAAATTTCAAATCGTACAACAAATAATATTGTAGTTGGCAGGTATCAATATTATTTTTTTTCAATAATTATGGTAAATTTTTAAAACAATAAACATGACGAATCTTGATGTGAAACAGACGGAACAGGTTAATTCCCAGGAAATGGCTTCAATTCAAAAAGGTTGGTACATTAAGTAATTATGTAGGTACCTTTGGCATTATGAAGTTAAAACAGTCGTTTTAAAAATAATAAATTATAATTTATATTCATTATAACATGTATAAATTAACTAATTATTTTCATTTGCCTTAAAAACCAAATATACAATAACTGAAACTCTTAACGTTTTTTTACTCATAAGACTGATGAAATACAAAGCTATAACTTTTGGCTTAATCAAATGAAAATATGTGCCTTATCCAATATAATTTAGAGCAGGTAGTCAATACATTGTAAACTATAGAAAATAAAAACTTATTTACTGTACCTATTGATGTTTGATTTTTGAACTATTTTGTTATCAATTAATGTATATTATCTAATGCTGGTTTGAATAAAAAATAAAATTTAGTTAATGTTTTCAATTACTGAACGAAATTGGTATGTGGAAAAACGCTCAAAATTTTAATATAAACTCGGAATTCCAAAACAATTATAAAGCGCAACCATATCGAAAATATATTAAGCCACGATTACTAAAGTGGACATTTTTTTAAGCTTCCCAGATTCCCCGCCTGTTTCATATTTTTTTTTTCTTGTACTGGGATGGTTGAGTCATTTTTGTTCTCGGGAACTAAATTTATCTTTCAAACATTGGGATTGAGGGTGTCCTCTTCCTGTACCCCCAGTGGTTGAAGGTTCTCTTCGACTACCGACGAATATCTAACGTCCGTTATTTACGGACCATAACCGAGGTGTGGCACTAGTCACCGAATTCGGTTAGACTCCGTAATGTGCGTCTTCCTTTTGTTCCCTTAATGATTTAGGGAACATAATTAAAAATGCATGCCTATAATAGTTAGGTATACATAATTATTTTGATCAGCAGTTCAAAAACTTGTTTCTAAGGGCGCCCTCCTAAGGATGACTTATCATAAGAAATAGAAAAAAAAAATAAAAACCTGAAGAAAAAGGAATGACTAATGAGTAATGATTAATATGAAAATATGTATTTAATTAAACAAAATTAAACATAATTTTTACATTTTTATTTACATAGTCGTAATCGTTTCCGTCGCCGCCATCGCCAGGTTTTCAAATTTCTTTTTGGACCATTTAAAATCTTACGGCAGCGCAGCACACTGCTATGTCTCATTTTGGGAACCGTCGATGTAAATTATTAAAATCATTTAAAACAAAAGATACCACTAATAATAGTAATGTTAAAAATACACATCGTTAAAGATAATGGGTATAGTAAATAAATAAAAAATTAAACTACCTAGTATTAAGTGAGATTTGGGTCATGTTTCTTTGGTTCAAGTTAAATATTATCTTGATAATTAATTATATAAAACATATTGACATATTATAATACAGTTGTAAATAGTACAAGCGATTTTTAGTATTTTTAGACTTAAACAAAAATATTATGGTACGATAACAAAAATGAAATAAATATGTTAATTGATATCAAACAAATAATACAAATAAATCGATCAATTAAATATTATACGAATAGTGTATTAATGTATCTCAATGAAAACGGAAATACATATTCAAGTCGGAATAGATAAGTATAATAAATAAATAAATAATTAAAGTTAACCAGATAAATTGAGGTCTTTATATATTATTATAGAAACATCACACATTGGATAATCAAACTAAAGGCAATTAATAATGGTGAGTGTCGAACATTAAGTAATAAGACGAATATTACTTTCCATACTGAAAATGAACATCTTCAAAGTCTTTATAATTAAAATATTTTGATCGCTAGATACATAAATATTTAATGTGAACTGAAACAATCAGGGAACATAGTAATTACGGGATGGTCTGCAATTGCGTCGGTCCCCGTTGTGACGACCACAATGATAATGTTATATTAACAATAATAATTTCGTTATCATTTTACCCGTCCAGCTGCCGGCTCGCCCGGCATAGGATTCCGGCACCTGCAGAGCCTTTTGCTGTTCCTGTGCGTGGTGTGCGGGTACCTGATCCGGGTGAACCTGTCCGTCACCATCGTGGCCATGAACCCCGTGACGAACTCGACGGACTACTTCCGGGAACTGGCCGACCACGTGCCGATATTCGGGTGGACCAACTCGATGCGGTCGGTGCTGCTGAGCACGTTCTTCGTCGGCTACCTGGTGGCCAACTTTCCGGCGTCCGTGCTCGGGTGCCGGTTCGACAACAAGATACTGCTGGCGTGCAGCATGATCGTCTCGTCTTTGCTGTCCATCGTCAGCCCGCCGCTGGTGTACGAGTACGGCGCCCCCGCCCTGGTGGTCATCCGGTTCGCGCAGGGCCTGTCGTCGGCGTTTATGTTCCCTATGGTGCACGGCATCATGTCCAAGTTTTCGCCGCCACACGAGCGAGGCCAGTTGGTCGGGTTCATCAACAGTGGCATACAGCTGGGCACCATGGTCACGCTGGCCATTTCTGGTATGCTGTGCAGCAGCGTGAAAGGCTGGCCGATCGTCTACTACCTGAGCGGCGCCGTCGGGCTGGTGTGGACGGCCGTCTGGCTACTGCTGGGCGCCGGGTCGCTGTCCACTCATCGGTTCATCGGTCAGGTCGAGAAGGACTACATCCAGAGGTCGCTCACCAACACCGTCGACCACGATAGACGGGTGATCATTATATTACTTATAATTTTGACGTAATCGAAAATGTTACAATGAGAACCATCGGATCTCAACTCACTAAAAAACCTCGAGAAGTACACAAAATATATATTATGTTCCTTGGCATAAAACATCAAAATATGCATAACTATAAAAAGCTTTGATAGATATATAATGACTACAAAATGCTCCAATATTCACCCAGAGGGAGGTTTCTGGTGGCAGATTGCATCTGGTTTGTACTTTGGGTGGTCGAAAATAAAAATTTCCCGTACTACTTTTCAAAATACCTAACCAGAAAAACAAAAAAAATTATTTTTGTGTTGTAATATAAAAATTAATAACTAACGAGACTTGACATTTTTACTAAATATTATTGTATAATGTCCTAAAAATTGTAGTCTTAAAAATATTTTGGCTCTTTTGAGCTGCTTGTAGCCTTTAAACTTTCTAGGTTTTATTCGAATTTTGTAAGTTAAAATCGTTGTAAAAATGTTAAACCTTTACAAGGAGACTCATACATTTTTTTACTGTTATTATAAAGAATGTCTAATATAATAGTCACAATTTTACTTGTATAGGTTTTTGAATTTCCAATCTTAACATAAATTATTTTTTGTATTCAATGATTTATAATTCAAATTTAACACATCCATTATAGTGACCTACTCAATGACGATGTACACTCGACTTACTTCCTTGGCTTTTATGAAGGCATTGAGGTTTTGGAAATAATATCCATGTGTATTTTATGTCAGTAGGATTCCAGGAAACTACACTGTTTACAGCAAATTTTCATTTTTGTTGAACAGTATGGCTTTTTTTTTGAATTATAAAAAAATATTGTTTTAAGTTAAATTATAGGTATTTATGTTATTGTATAATATAACACACATATTTTAAAAATGTTTGCCAATTTATTGAACTATTAAGACATAAAAATAATGATATAAAAGTATTTCAATTTTTTTCAATTTCAAAAATATTAATATTAATAATCAAAATTGAAAATATTTTTAACTATCAGCTATTTTTTTATTACAATTATCATATCTGTATTCATAGTTAATGTTCAACAGTAATGAAATTAACAAATAGTTGCAATTTCTTATGGTATAAGGCGTATTAATGAAATGTTGAACAACGTGCTACGTTTTACCTTAATATACCTTATAAGTTATAAGTATCAATTATAATAATTAAGCTATTCAATGTTAATGTGTATTTGTATATTAATTCCTTAACGATTTTATCAACAAAGAATTAACAAGGGATCCATCGTGAAGAGTAGGTATAACCATAAATTATAATGTTTACAAAATGTTGTATCAATAGATTAAAATGGATACAGTAGATTAGTAACATTATTGATTTTAAAATTGACTAATTCGAATTTCATCGAACTGTAGATAACGTCATCAATATCGTAAAAATGTAATTCAATATTAAGACTGGGATTTAGATTGCTGAAATTTAAATCATACCTACCTACTTTATATACATTTGCGTATAAATAATCAAAAATATAAGATCGTATATCGGGTAGGTAGTCGAAAACCAGTTTTTTGTCACTTACAGATGACAAATTAAATTCCATGGACTACAATACATAAGAAATATAATTAAGATGCGTATGCATTTTCAAAAGAAAAATATTCTAATCGTATAGTCGATGTTAATTCGTTATTGCCTAGAATTGGTGGAATTTAAAATATTGCATTTTCTCCTGGTCAACATTTATCAGTACCTACCCTTCTAGTCCTCTATATTGTTTTATGTAATATTAAGTATGCAGTAATAGATCATAATGAATAAAACAAAAGCAAATGGCCTTCAGTCCAAAAATAAATTAAATCTTGCAACATAAAATTTCTTATAACGTCTATAGCCTAAAAAATATGTGTCATATATTAATAAATAGATAATTTTAAATTTTAAGGGCAAACTTTATAGTATATTATATATTTGTTTTAGAAAAATGTTCATATGCACAAAACTTTTTGAATTCCACGAAAGTTTTTCATCAGAATTGTTTACATACATTATACATAAGACTTATTATAATACCTACCCTAGTACCTACATCGTTGTGTTAAAATTGAGAAGGATTAATATTTATATGATACAATATTACAATGGTATTTCTAACAATATAATGTCATAAAGTAATTCGAATAAGAGCCTAAGAGCATTGTAAAAGTTTCGTAAATTACAATCCAACAATTGGTAGGTGATAACATTTATTTTATTTTTCAATGTGATATTTTTAATCAGGCAGTATATTGATTTAGTTTATGTTTTATGACTTTCATGCGCCAAAAGTAGAAAAACAGTAGGTTAAAGATAATAAGGATGAACTAATCATATCCTACAGTCACAAAACAATAAAGTCTTCAATCGTGAGTTAAGGTTTTTTGTATTTTATTCTATTATAAACTAATTTTATTTTTTTTTTGTTATCATAATACAATGAGTATAATCTTATACTTTGTTTTGTGGTTTTACGTCTAATGTTACATAATAAATAATAATACAAACTACTAAGTATGTTAGTATGTACTCGTATATTATCCGCACGAATGATTGAACGACAATGGCGGGATGTATAAGTACACAATTAGAAAACCATTAGGATCCAAGAATTATAATATTTATATGATATTTGTTTTAAAATTAAAAAAACAATTTTAATTGTGAATATTATAGTATTAAATATTATGTATAAAATTTGAGAAAATAGAGAAAAATGATAAGTTGAGAAAAAAATTTAAAATTAAATCTATAATTTTCCGATAGCTTTAAAAATTATAAATATTAATAAATCGTTTTATAAAGCTAGTAAGACTTGAATAGTTGCAAACTGAAATAAGTAATAACATAATATAAAATAGCTAATAAAAAAAGAGTTACAGGTTAAAAATATCAAAGCTTTTTATTTAGTTATGTATAGGTATGCTGTATATTTTAAGAGCAATTTCAAGACTTATTATAGGTTCACTTTCAAAAAATCCCTCTGTGTTTTTCATTATATAGTTTTCCGTGATCGCACGCAACTCTTTCTCGGTAAAACCTTCATATATGCCCTCATGCAACCACCGCACCGTGACTCAGATACGCATATTGTATTTGTATTATGTTAAAGTTAATTTAATTTTCAATATGAAAATCTTAAAAAAACGACTGATTCGTCTCCTTTGTGTTCAGTTGTCAGATACTCCATGGAAATCCATATTCACGTCATTGCCGGTGTGGGCCACCGCCTTAGCGCACATTGGCCATAACTGGGGATTTTGGCTACTGTTGACCGAGATGCCGACATTCATCCACACGGTGCTCAAATTTGACATTAAGGAAGATGGTATCCTATCGTCGTTACCATATCTCGCCATGTTTGTGCTTCAGATACCGGTCACCTTCTTTGCCGATTTTCTGAACAAGCGCGAAATCACTACTCTCACGGTGTCCAGAAAAATCTGGAACACAATATCCTTCTGGGGTGGCGCCATCGGCCTAACCATACTAGGTTTCGTCGAAGACACCCGCTTGACGATCATCATTTACGTGTTCATCGTAGCCATAGGATGTACATCGAACGCTGGGTTCAACATAAATCACATGGATCTATCGCCCAACTTCGCTGGGCTCCTGATGGGAATCACCAATACAGTCGCGGCTTCCGGAGGGATCATCGCCCCTCTGTTTGTCGGGCTCGTTGTCGACGATCAGGTACAAATATACTTAAATATTACATACATTACATAGGTCTGAGCCAAGTCATAGCCATAAGTGCGTCCACTCAATATATGCCTATCTATGCCTAGTAATTGTATACAGATGAATACCGTTTTTTCTGTTTTGTTTTTCGAATTTTCCTGAACTGTTATATATATTAGTGCCTAGTGGGTATGAGTAAACGTGTAAAGACTGGCTGATGTTTTGATAATTAACCCTGTGTTTCTGTTTATCAACTCTATACGATTATCACTTCTGTTTATGACTTATGTTGGTTTTTTTTTTTTATTCGTGTCAGGCGCATAGTGTAACAGTAATAATAATAATGATATAAGTTGTTAAAAAAATTAAAAAACAAATAGATAAATAAAATTAACTTTAAAATAAACATTTCACAATATTAATAAATAAGGTAAAATAGAAAGGTACGTTAATGGTGGATTTATATTATTTCTGCCCAGATGCGGGCTACGTTAATTCCTTGGCTTGTGCCTTTGTGAATGTCTTCTGGGGTTGCAGGTTTGGGAGCAAGCTGTGCATGTGATAATGTGTTGCATTGTCTGTACTTCTCCACATATGCACAAGGTGTCTGTGCTATCTAGCAATCCCCATTTTATTAGATTGTCTTTCGTTCGTCCAATTCCTGTCCTAAGTCTGTTTAGTGTTCGCCAAACCGGCCATGTTTCATTATGACCAGATGGGAGCGACTCGTTCGGCACCCAGCTGGAGGTACTGCTTATCTCATTTCTCCATCTGGTCGTTCTTTCTACTTCAGGATGTGTTGATGAGATGGCTTTTGTATGGTTCATGAAACTCTTCATGGATTTAAGGCGAGGGAGTTGTGGAGTTATACCGTACATAGGGTGTCGTGGATCTGCTGTTATTTTCGTTCTCTCCCAGTCTGCTTGCGTGGATCTTCTTATTGGCGGAGGGGCTATTCCTGAAAGTATATATAATTGTTCTACCGGCGTATTTTTTAGGCAACCAGTTATGAGTCGGCAGGACTCGTTTAGTGCGACATCGACCTTTTTAGTATGTGCTGACCTACCCCATACTGGACTGGCATATTCTCCCGCTGAAAAACATAAGGCTAATGCCGTAGTTCTTAGGACGTGGGGATTACAGCCCCATGTGGAGCCACTGAGCTTCCGCAATATGCCATTTCTTGTCATTATTTTATGTTTGGTGTTTTCGCAATGGAATCTGTAGGTGAGAGATCGGTCTAGTGTTACTCCGAGATATTTTGGACACTGTGTATTAGTGATTTTCGTCTCATTCCAGTAGACGTTAAGGATACGGTTGGCACATCGATTCCTTAGGTGGAAAGCACATACTTGTGTTTTGCTTGGATTGGGTTTTAGGTAATTGCGTCTATAGTATTTTCCGAGAATGTCCAAAGTAGTCGATAGTTTTTCCTCTACATTTTCAAACTGATCGTGTTGTACGGTGATTGCTGTGTCGTCTGCGTAAATATAATGTTTTACGTCGCTATCTGTGGATATTGGTTGATCGTTGGTATATATGTTAAACATAGTGGGGGCTAGCACGCTTCCTTGAGGGAGACCATTTCTGGAGATTCTCCACTTACTATTCTTGCCTTGGTGATTTACGAAAAATCTTCTGTTGCCTAAAAGGGCTTCGAAAACTCTTACAAACTCGTAATCCAGGGTAATATCATATAGTTTCTTTAACATTAGTCTGTGGTTCACCGTGTCGTATGCCGCCGTTAGATCTATGAGCGCCACGCCTGTGACTTTCTTGTTCTCGAAACCGTTCTCGATTGTTTGGGTCAGGTTGAGTATCTGTCCTGTACATGATTTTCCTGGGCGGAAACCAGCTTGTTCTTTAATTAGTGTGCTGTCTACGAAGGGGACTAGGCGGTTAAGCAGCATTCTCTCGAAAAGTTTGTACGTGTGGCACAGAAGGGATATTGGGCGATAGTTCTTTGGATCATCCGTATCTTTCCCTGGTTTTAATAAGGCTATAATTTTTGTTTTCCTCCATATTTTCGGTATGTTTTTCCGGTTTCTTATTTCGTTATATAGAGCGAGTATCCAGCGTTTGGCTTTCGGCCCAAAATTGCGGATCTGTTCGACAAAAATATTATCTAGTCCAGCTGCTTTCCTAAGTTTCATTGTCTCTATAGCTATGTTCAATTCATCCTCTTCGAAAGGCCGGCTGAGGTGGTTTCCTTCTTTTTCTTTGTTTCGTATTATTCTTTTATTAGGTTTATCTTCTTGTTTAAGTCTTTGGGGTTTACCATTTAGTAGTAATTGGTGTGCGATTTGATCGGGAGTGACGTTAGACAGTCCTTTCGCGCTAGTAGGATCACTGTTTAATCTTTTAATTAGGCCCCATGCCTTTTTACTACTATGTTTCATGTCTGTTTTATTTAAAAGCTCATGCCATTTATTCCTTTTTTCCTGTGCAATGGCATTCGTGAGCTCTTCCCCTTTATTTCTGGTTTGTTCTTCGAAGGGATTATTTTCAAACAGGTTGATATATGTGTTGTAATTGTCCGTGATTTCACTTGATAGTCCAAGTATATGATGTGTCCTACATCCTCTTGGTATGTGTTTCCGGGATATGTATTTTACTTTTTCTACAAAGGATTCATAGTGTTCCGGTAGTGGTTCGAGATTTTCTATACTTGAATCGAGATCTTCTGAGAAAAGGTTCCACTTTGCTTTCATGAAGTTGTATCTCCTTTGGAATGGGACAATATTAGGTCTCACTGCAGCCTCAATCTGGCAAATTATGGGCCTATGTTGTGTGTTTGGAATGGGGTCTCCCATCTTTTTGGTACATAGTTGACTGATAGAATCACTGACAAATATAAGGTCAGGGTTATATCCTTTCTTCCATCGACCGCTGTTGAAGGATGGAGGTAATTTGTTATCGTGAATCAGTACCATATCTTCGCCTTGTGCCCAGATTTCTACTGCTTCGCCATCATCGTTTGTCTCCTTATAGCCCCAGCTTGAACTGTGGCTGTTGAAATCACCTATGACTATTGACTATGTTAGGTTTATGTTGTAGGCTGTCTTCGGATTTAAGACTAGGGGCTATGAAAGGAGAATTTGGTGGTTTATATATTGAAGAGACTGAGATGTTCGGTAAATGCACTGTGATAAATTCGATGTCGTTTTGTTCGTATATTTTAACTGACTGGATGATCATATTAGGTTTTGTGAAGATGGCACTACCGTGTTTTCTATGGTGCCTTATCGCTGCTAGTTTCATTCCAGATATACTTGGTGCATTAAGAGTCTGGTCTCGATGGGTCACTTGGACGCACATAATATCGCATGATGTTGATTTAAAAATGGTAGATAGAAGTTCTTCCTTTACTCTCGTAATACCTTCGATGTTTATCGATACAATCGTCAATGCTGGCCCTGATAAGGGCCGTTTTAGGCGCGGTTTTTTATGACCACCAGACATTGTTATTATACTGAGAGATAGGTTGCGCCTGGGTTTGGAAGAATTAGCCGGTATTTGGAAAACACCGTTACTAGGGGACACCGCGTAGAGGTTTCTTCCTTGTCCCCCACTTATGTTGGTTATACACATCAAATAATTGTTATTGTATTGTTATATTAATTATTAATATTATATTAGACTTCGGTGGCAGAATGGCGAATCGTTTTCATCAGTGGTGCAGTAGTGCTATTCGCAACCAATTTGTTTTTTATTATATTTGGCTCTGCTAAGACCCAGCCTTGGAATTCATTGAAAAATAGAGGTACAGTATATTTTTGACTATATAGCATACAACTACAAATTAACTTGCCAATTATTTTGATTTTGTTGGTTCTTAAAATAATATCGATAAAAATCCTTAAAGATAATACTTTAAAATATATAAGTTAAATAAATAAGCACATATAGCTATAAAAGTAGTATTAATTTGTTGTACACAAATAAATAAATAATGAATGGACATAAAAAAAATTATAGCAATGTAATATTAATTGTATTTTTCAAATAATTAAATACATTTTAATATATTATTAACAAACATAATGTATATTTTCATACGTTATAGATTCTCCAAAAATGGATAATACTAAGCAAGATATTGAAACTGTTGGATAACATACCATGGAAATCATATTATACACCTACAGGCTACAACGCTAGTGTTCCACATAATATGTATGATTATTTGCTATCTATGTTTAATATGTATAAATATAATATTGATTATGGACACATCACCTTAAAATTGATTATGATTTATGAAATAAAATTATTTCGATGACAAATGTAATTATAAGTTTAATGTTTAATACTCTCACTTTATTTTGTTTTTTGTTCTCAATTTAAAATTTAAAAATGTTTAATAAGTACCAAATAACTGTTTTTTTTTTACAATAAACGTCTAATGTCTATACGCGTTAATTGCATTTTCAACATCATATTATATTATGAACGATTATAACTACCTACATTCTATTTTTTCTTTTCCCAGTTATGAAATGGTGGAAGGAAGCGGTATTTAAAGCATAAAGGTAAACAACCCGATTAATGTTGGAAAACACACACCTCAAGATGTAGAGTAGGTACATATTATTTTGTTTAAGTTTTAAGAGCTTTTAGATACTCGTTTACGATTTCAAGTGTTAGGATAAGTACCTACTTTTGCAACTTACATGAATTAATTATATCATATTATAGCAATCGCAGTGACGTTAAAGGTACAAAAATCGTTGATTATTAGTAGGTACCTGTAAAAATGATTTACACTAATATACTATTGTAAGTAGGTACTTCCGAAGTACTGAGAAAGCCCATTTTTTTTATCTAGCTTGGCAGTTAGCCTTTAAGACGTTGAATGATTACAGTTTACATATAATCCTTGGTTTGTTTACGCTGCAGGTTAATTAATTATAATTAATGTTATGGGGTTATATTTGTTTTTATTTCTTATTATTCGGCAGCCATGAGTAATCACTACTGAACGGTGTTTATGAGGATAGGTAACCAATTCAAAACTATAGTCTATACTCTATAACAACACCGACCTAGTATAAATAAGCGGAGCAAAGCCGATACATAGATTAATATGTACACATGAATACTGAACAAGACAAACATTTCACAGAATAGATGACATTTCATAGCACAGTCGAAGAGCAAACTGTATAGTTGCCAAATTGGTTACATGCAGATATCTAATCAAGATTTTGAATGTTTTGGTGTCCGCATCAGTGCATCACTGATATTATTAAATTATATTAACACAGTATAATAACTTAAAAAAAAATATGACAACAATTATTATAGTTTTTACATTAGGTAGGTAATAACAAAAACAGATTTGATTGAAATTTAATACAAAAAATTGGGATATAATGGATTAAAATGTTATAAACCGCACTCACAACTGGCATTACCGAATATAACCATATTATGGTAACTTGTAGACGCTTTGATCACAGTATACCCATTTAAGCTATCAATGATTATACCTTATATATTCAATGGACCTCAAGGCGGGTTCACACTGCACTGTGTCGTGTCTTGAACTTTTCCTACTTTTGAAAACATGATACCACTCTATACCAAAAATGAGCTCTTCATTCGGTTGATATCAAAATAATATTTGAATTCATGTATTATCACTATTAAATCAGTAATCACAAGTTCAAAAGTTGGATGAAATCAACTTCGTGGTATATGCGGGAACATCATGGTATTCGTATTAGAATCTGTAAAATTGGTGGTAGAAACCAGGTTTAACCACGTGGTTAAACCAATCTGAACACGGCAACATTTCACGACACGACACGGTGCAGTGTGAACCCACCTTTATACTAAGATACTCATTCTTAGCAGTGGCGTATATAGGGCCATAGGGGAGAGGCCCCCTAGGCCAGAGCCCATAGTGAAATTGCAGGCTCAATTAAAGCATTGCATGTATATTTACACTGTTAACAGTTTTTCACCATGATTAAGTTAGCAGGTTGATTAAAATCATTTTTGAGTAATCTACAAGGAAATGTTAGATATATTGACGGGACTTGCTTTAATGACTTATTGACTTTGATGTTAAATTCATAGTAAGATAACATTAAAATATACAAACGAGTAAACGACACTGTCAATATTTTTAAAAAAAGAAACAAAAAATTAATTTTACATAATAATTATAAAATTTAATTGCGCAATTTTTATTTGAACTGTATAATATGTCATAATTCTTAATTATATAACAGCTGCTCCCTTAAAAATATATATAATTATGGCTATGCTGCTTGACTAGTGATAATTGATAAATCGGCCCATAGTGAAAATAATTCGTATATACGCCACTGAATTTCTTAGTACCAGGTCTACGGTATATACCGTTCCTAAATTCAGCGACCAATGCAGAGGCTTGTCCAGCGTATTATTAGGAATTAAAGGCAAGTGTACACTATTCACGTTCTTTCAAATCCTTTGCTGTGATTGGTTGATTAGGTTAATCCGTGTCGTTGGACGTAGCTGAACATTGTTCGTGTGTACGCGCCACGCGGCATACGCGTTTAGTGGAATTCCGAGGCCTTTAGAACCACATTTTTGTTATTGCTCTGTAACATATTGGTTGATACCAGTAACCAGTTTAAGGTATAGTCGTTTAGGGATGTCATATCCGGCCATCCATCTACAATATATATATTCATAATGTATATGTATATATTTTACACGTGGATTTCGTCTAATTAAGAATCAAGAACTATGTAAACTGTTTTTAATGTTGTAAGTCGCACGTCAAGCGTTCTCTGTAAGTAAAATTAAAACATCCTAAATGCCTTGCCTAATCATAAGCTAGATTGAAAATACCGTCTGGCGTACATCGTTTTCTCTAAAACAATTTCACATGGCGGTTTACAGACTTTTCTTAATTTTCTTTCAAATATTCAAGTTACTCCCGTATTCGTTCGTGATTGGACATATTCAAGGCTTATAAATAATAATAAAGGAGTTCAATATAGGCAATTTTCCAAGTGTTTGCATTCGGGTCTTGCAAATGATTGCGTAGTAAGTGATCATTAGTGTGAGTGACTGTGTATAAAATAAATAGCGGAGCGCTTCCGCAAATGCATGTCAATAACGCAGCACGAGCACTTTACACACTAATTACAAAATATGCGAGTTTTAATGAAACACTGAAACTCAGTTTCATATTTCCAATAATATAGCAATATGAGTAACATTATATAGCTTGAACACTTATTATTTTACAAATTGCAAAAATTGGAGAGAAAAGGTTTATCTATGCCTGTATAGAAGTCGATTTTCGATATTTTGTTTTAAATTACCGATATTTAGCTCTAAGACTTGTGATACTTTTACTTTTTGAACTTGGATTGTTGAGTTCAGTAATTAAAACACATCGAAAATTGACTTTTATACAGGCACAAATTAACTTTTCTTCTACAATATTGATAAAACATGTTTTTACTCTCAGACCGTTGCTCAATAAACAGCTAGTATTATTTTAAATACAAAAATTAATTTTCATGGAATTCGTCCATACCATTCACACCCCTTAAACTATATTTGAACAATATTCAATGAAACAACTGTCGAACTAGGTATATCCATTATTACTCGATAGTATCTACAGATAATTCATTAGCTCGCATCACTACTAATTGGCCGACGACCAACCCTTAACTACTGATAAATTACGATATTCAGTGGACGCGTTCACAGCATAGACCTTATACTACTAGACAAACAACATGGAAAGCGTAACAACACAGAGGGCGCTTTTTAATTACTCGATTACTCTTACGGACGGTAATGCGGGGTAGCAGGGTAAGATATGTAGATTATTGTATTTTTTCGTAAAGATAGCCTACAACACTGCGACATGTTTTTACGCCGATCGTAATTCTATTGTTGCACACAATTCTTCTCTGGTATAGGTCTATGGTTCACCGTGGCAACTCCATTTTATCGTCATCCTTTTGAACTTTTATGCTACAGGAAAAAAGCGCTCACTGTTGTTGCCAGATGACGCTGCCGCATACATTTTTAATTCTTTTTTTTTCAAATTTCTAACTTTCTGGCAACAACTGATGAGGTTTTCTTTCATTAAATTCTTTATTCATTACATTTTACTATTCTTTTATATCTTACTAACTGTAAATTTATTTTTGATTGGATAGGGCAATACAAAATCTTATGACGGCTGTAAATTAATGTTAAAATTATATAAAACTTAATTTAATATTCTTTTCATCGATTTTCGAGTAGGTATATTAATATTATTGATTAATGATTATAAAATATAATAATAAACAGCTGTATTGACTGCTGTTGTGTACAAGTCAAAAAGTTTCTGTTATTTGAATGGATACTTAAGAAACAGGACTTTTGTTTATTGTTTAATAACAAACACTTTTTATTGCTAATGAAACAATATTAAAGTGATATAATTATTTATACAATTTTACTTGAAAAGGGGTGGTTGACTTTAGACTCTTGAATTTGGAGATGGACCACCTCTATGCCTCCTTATCCCTAGATAGACATTAGACATCCCCCATATTGTATGTCCTACTGAGAATATAAGAGTTTGTTGTTGCAAGAAAGTCGTAAATATTTATTTTATATAGTAGCTATATAAGTACATATATTGTAGGAAACTTAGTTTAAAAAATACACACTTGCCTTAATACTTGTTGAAATAAACATTTATTTAAGATTGTTATGTGCTTCAATTAATTATATTTTTAAACAATATTAGGTATCTTATAATTTAATTTTTAAATGATTAACAAACAATTTAGCTAGGTATTACAGTGACTAAAAAAATCTAGCTAATTTTATATAAAATTTTTCAAATCCAAAATACAATTATTATAATTCACAAATTAATAAACAATATATTTTTAATCCAAAAATACTATTAACTCTGTGATTTTATTAATGATGGAACGTATATTGCAGGTATTATTAGTGATGGTAGATTGACCAAGTCAATGAATATTCGGTATGAATCACTGAAATTAAAAATTAATAAATTAATAGAGAACTAACGGTTCTTCAAAAATGATTTATTACCTAGTCCATTAAATTAATACATTTTAAATGCGACCAGGTATTAGTGTTTAAGAACATTGTTTATAGTTATGATTTTTATAATCATAATAGTTATAGTTATTACATATTTACATTTTAGGTTTTGAACGGATGTATTGATTTTACAATAATATGTGTGTTTTTTATGTCTGAATACTTGATACTATAGGTATATAGTAGGAAAAATTGTTATTATTTTAAAAAAACTTATAAAATGTTCAGTTTGTATGGCTAAGGATTGTAAATTTAATCCGAGGTATCTCATACTAGAAACAAATCTAAGAAAGTTTTACAACTTTTTACGTATATTATTATACTTTTTATACATTTTTAATACATTTAGATTAATTTTGTACTATTGATATTTATACCACGAACCTATAATTCAAACAGTTCTAATAATTATAAGTTTTAGCTCAAAAGTAAATAACTAATATAATAGATGGTATAAATATATAACTAGGTATTGTAAATTATAATAATTAAATATTAATAATATAATAAATGCATTTTTTTCGACAAATATTAGTTTATCTTACCTTATTACTAATAGTAAAATAAGTTACTATAGTAGCAATTTAAATACCTATTCAATACATCATTATAATATCATAATCTTTTTTCATATGTTACCTATTTTTCTCCTTTTTATAAAATAAATTATTTAAGTATCATAATTAACTAAATAACCTCCGAAATATTTGATATACCTACTTTCATTTTATTATAGATATTAGACAAGATGTTTCAGTCAGTTTCAGTAGAAAATTACAAGTAATGCTTTATCAATTCATCAATGATCATTACGAGTAAAAAACGAAACTACTCACTAATTTTGATGTATATTGTTTTTTACATTCTTAGAAGAATTGAAATTTTATTTTATGTTTTGTTATAGAGACTTCAATATTACAACATGTTTATATTTAAATTTTCTAAACATGATATTATAATTTTCAAATTATTTTGGATCTCTGAGCTATTTTTGAATATCTGAAATGTTCCGTTATATTTGACTATTTGAGACTATTTTCGATTTTGGTTTGCAAGTATAAAAGCTTGAGCATTTTACAGAATGTTCCTCTCAAGTTGTTCTTATATAATTTAAAAAACGTTAAAAATACATAGTCACAATTTTTTTATAAATGTTTAACCTATAAATGAAATAGGTACTTATTACTTTTCTTGGATAGGCACTAGGGATAATAGATTATAATATTTTCAATTACCATAATGTAGATCTTAGATATTCTGAACCAGTAGTACCACCGGTGCCGGAACTATACGATCCAATCATCTTGTGCACCATAACGAAATGACTGTCTGTAAAATAACTTGAAATTAATTTTGACTGTCATACGAAACATTTATGTTTTAGATCATTATATTGTATTATTGAATGTTATGGAACATTCATTAGATACTTATCAGTTAGGTAGGTATCATACAATTTTAAAAATAAGGTAACAATCTACAAAATAACAACTCAACAATTATTACATTATTTAAATAACAATTAATATTTTTACGTACAAAATATAGAGTAAAAAAAAAATGTTTAATTTCAGGTGGTACCTGCAAAATAGGTAGTAAACCCAGTTCAAAATACAACCGTTTATATGTTATGATAACAACGTCTGATTATTGATACTTGATCGCATTATCATACTCATATAGCTTGTATTATATAGACATATATGTATTATATCAGGTATATACTTATATATAAATTAAAATTGCATATTACATTATTATAATTAATAAAATATTTACATCTCCACTTTGATAAAAGTGTGTCGATGTCCACCAATGATTCTAGTATTCTGTTGGCCAATGCATACCCTTTCTCATGCCTATATGCATATACTATTATGGCGCCCTTTAACGCCATATGAGAAAACGTTCGATTCCCCTGTTCGACTAAGCGTTTGTGCTGGTCACATTTAAACACAGAGTCCATAATCTTACGGCGTTTCTCCAGGCAAGATAAATCAGACTAAATTAAATTAAAAAATGAACAAATGTTTAATTCACACAATAAATACAATTATGCTCGTAACTAAACCATCAATCAAATTTTAATTAAAAAACTGACTAATAATTCCACTATATTTCTTGTTGAAATAATAATGGTTAGTACAGACTACAAAATAAAGTAACAAATTAAATTATCTGTATATTATTATTATTACTTTCTATTGACAACAAGAATACAGCCATCAACATCTGTTAATTATACCTAAATAGCATTTAAAAGACATTCTATAAAGAGGTATACAATTAAATCTTGAAGAAAAAAAGGTTAAGGACTCACGAGCCCACTAGTTTTCTTCAAATAAACAGTTCCAAATAAACTTTTTAGTTCTTACCAAAGACACTATCTCTCTTTAATAAAAAACCAAAAACACATTAACAATCAACAATCAGTAATCACAATCTTCTTATATAATTTCCATAATTCGTAATATCATCATTAATATTATATAATAATTTCAGTCATTAATATTGTAATCGTAAACTGCAAAGACATTTTTGAAAATTTTTTGAAATTTTTAGAAATTAGTATTTACTGCTGTTGATATTTCAATTAAAAAATAATAATTATAAGGGGATTAAGAAGTACCTATCAATGATAATTAAAGGAGAGTAAAGTAGATAACACCCTCTTGTTTCCTGGTATCCTTCAGTGTTCTCTCAGGTAACCTACCAATTTAAAAATATATTTTTAGTACTACCATTTCATAGAACATACCTCAGTAGATCCTTCTAACCAGTGATCCGCAGCTTTTCGATACTGGTCCCACACGATATTATCTTTTAACATAGGAGTAGATTCGAGCCAATGACAAACTAAAGTGAATAAGCTAGGTTCAACCGAAGTGCGTTCGAATTCATCACATTTCTTAGCATTAAAGCACTCAGTGTACGATTTACAACAGTTGACTCGGTTTTCCTTAACATTTGCATACAAATAAAATTCGTTATAGGTAATCATGAAATTCGTATTTTGAGATATTTAAACGTTAAGGCTATGTTAGGTTAGGTATTTTTACTAACAAATCGTATGATATTTGCTATTTTAAAATAACATTGTATCATAATACGTATATTTATATGTGATAAATGATAATCCATTCGATTCATTACAGATACTTCTTTATAATGTAAACCGTTTAGTTTTATGAATAAAATGTGTATTTTATTGATATTTTACCTTTTTTAATCCTAATTTATTTTCAATCATACGGAATTGGAGGCTTTGGAACCCTGATGCTGGTTTTAGATAATCACGAAATTCCGCAAAATCGTAAGGAGTCATGGTTTCCAAAACTCCGAAATGTTCTAGTAGTAACTTTATCAAATAAAAATACCAAACACATTATTAGTCACATTGTCACTTGCATGCATATTGTATATAATTATATAACTAATAATAGGTAATAGGTAGGTACTTTACAAATTATAATGTTGACATTTGAACTATTTAAATAAAGAAAACCTTAAAAGTGTATTTTATATAATGATCCATATTGTAATATAATATGCAGAATGCAAATACTCATCATAACATATTACGTTCTTATTATTAAATGTATTATATGAAATGATAGATATTTACATAATATTATCCAGACAACTTTTAGGTATAGGTATATGCAAGTATAGTGAGCACACGTTAAATTTTACTGAGATTACCATCATATGAGTTTAGAATTGTTATGCTGTCAACATCCCCATCATTGAAAGAAACCAATTTAATTCCATTTGAGTCATATAAAATTTATAACTTTTTATACTACACGGTTAATTATTCTGACCATGTTTTTACTATTACCATTTTTTTATATTGTAACAATAATAATGTAATATAATATTATATATATAATATTCATTATAGGTACCTATACCTATTCTTTCATAGCTTATTTTAATTTATGATTTTTGTATGTATACCTATTTTTTTCTCAAACAAAATTTATTTTATTTTGTTTGTGTTTTCTTAATAACATTTTTTTTTTTTAAATATAATAGTTCAATGTCCTATAATTCCTAAATCTATACATGTAAATTATAAATAAATAATCTGGATAATATATTAATATGTAAGATGCAATTTGTCTTACGGATATTTATACAAGCTTACCTTGATAATAGATGAAATCCTACCTAAACGCTTTAAGATGTTGAACATTTCCTGCTCGTTATTCTGAAAAGTTAAAGTTAGTCAAACAATTAAAGTAACATTTAATATATTTCATATTTTGTAGTAGAGTAAAACAAAGTTAAAACAATACCTTCTATACAATGCTATACATACCCAAAGGTTAGCAGATAATAATTTACAAACAATATCCATTTCGAATAAAATCTGCTTGAACCACAACTCGTAAGCTGAAATAAGTGAAATGTTTACAAAATTAAATAATAAGTTATTAGATACGTTTGATTAAACTATCATTTTGGAAAATAAATAAATATTTTTACCATCATTTTTTAATTTTTAGTTTTCTAAATAGCAAAATACATGCCTATTAGCAAATTCCTAATTGAAATATTGTTTCTGTAAATTGTATACATACAATCATTGATTTTTACAAAACGAAGAGTTTATTAATTATAATTATTAATTTATTACTAAATGTATAGTATTTTAAGTGTAAATTAGTTAAGTAGAAGTAACTTATCAGTATATTTAGGTACAATAGGTACACATAAATAATATGTCACGGAGCCTAACAAATTATGTTAAGAATCGGATAATTCCAATTGTTAATTCTGATATCATACTCCACGTATTCCTATAATATGAGTGATTATATAAGAAATTTTTCTCGGATAAATAGTATAGGAAATAGTTTAGTAATGGTTCTCCATAGCATAATATAATATTTAATATATTGTAATTTAATAAGAAATATTCATAACTAAATTAAGAGACTTAATAAATAATGATTTATATTTTTTAACTACATCATTGGCCATCATAATCCAATATAAAATCTCAAAGCTGCTTACTTTTTTTTAATTTTTAATTTTGAACGGAAACGAAATAATATTTTAACAATAATGCATTACATTATCAATAATGATAACTAGAGTTTTTTAAAGGTTTTAATTTTACAGATAAAAACAAAATTATAATCACTAAATCTTGATTACCTTGATGAGTAACTATGAAGAGATGCTCGTCGTACGAAACCCTACCGTTTTGCTTACTTAACATTGTCTGAGAATCTAAAAGTTTGTCAAGTTGTAGATAATCTGCATAACCGTTGGCCGCTGTAACATTCGGTTTACACCTTCTGCTGAGACAATGCAAATAAATATCGCAAACAAATTAATTTTGAGTAACAGCGAGCGAATAGATATACCTCTATTTTGCACAAATAACACACTTACTTATTTTGTTGATCATTGACTCTATCTTTACCGTTCATACAACTCATTTTTCGATAAATAAGCGCTCACTTCTGTCTTCTATGAAAAACGATTGGCAGGTATAGACGACGTAATCGACGTATACCTATGTAATTTTCTAAACTATTCTGTACCTATACAAATATACAATATTCGCCGTGGACTTTTGATTTATTTTTTTTATAAAGAACAGTATGTGAACTAAACGACGTGCTGTCTACTGATTAATAGAACTCATAAAGGTTTGCTCGATTTAGCAGTTAAATATGTAATGTAGTCGCATATATGGCGAAAACCTACAGCAGGGGTAAAGCTTATAGCAAAACCGTCCAAGTAATCTAATATCTTTTTCAAGGCAATAGTTGCGCACGAAAGTCTGACAGGATTGAGTTATCCTGCTACCATAATTATCGTTACATAATGGGTTCATAGGCCTTCGTTATAATTGTTTATATAGCTTACATAAGAGCTTATTACGTATAGTTAACCATTTTGTGATCACACATTGTATGCATTTCAAAAACACTTCAACAATACGCCATAATAATTATAAGTACGCACGTGTACAATCCGCGTAATACATCTATTATGCTGCAGTATGCCTGTAATGGATTTCGATTTTAGATTCTAAGCAGAGCAATTAATGTATTGGTTTCGCAATGATCGTGTTTTAGTATTTTAATTAACAATTTTTTTGTCTTTGAAGGATTTTTTATAGAAAAATCGTTTTTACTTTAATTCAAAAATTAATAACTGTATACCATGTGATTCTTTCAAGTATATAACATGTACTCTTTATTTATTATAACTTTTTTGAAAAATATTCTTTTCATATCATTTGATGTTATTTAAAAGCAATAATTTTTTTAAATATTTTCTATCATTATAAGTTTTTGTATGATATTACACACTTTTAATTTCGTATTCCGAAGCCGATTACTTCTTGGAGTATTTCAATAAATAGGTAAAGATCAAATTTGGACAAGTAGTTCATAACTTAGAAGTTATAACTTAAGAGAACGCCATGCATAACTCCGTTATGTTTAATCTTAGAGTGAATTGACCTATAATCAAATTTAGTAGTAATAATATTATCTAGCCGATGACATAGGTTTATTTTTATACTTCAATTTTAAAGCGAGTTATAAGCATTTTAAAATAGTAAATTGTTTGTACATCTTAAAATGCTCATAACTCGCTTTAAAATTGAAATATAAAAAAAAAACCTATGTCATCGACTAGATAATATTCTTACTACTAAATTTTTCTATAGGTCAATTCACTAAAATATTAAACACAACGGAGTTAAATTAATTATCCAGAACGTACAATGTGCTATGTTATGTGTTTGTAAGACTGAGACAAAGCATGAGGGTATGGCGTCCTCTTTAGGTATTTAAAGTTTTGATGAGCGGAGTATCCCACAAAATGTTGCAATGTCTAATAATCTTCTCATCTAAACTTTAATATAAGTTATAAGTTATAACTAATGAACTAAATGTCCGAAATGTGATCTTTATATAGATTGAAATACTCCGAATAATATTCTGCTTTGGGTTATGAAATGAAAAATGTATGTCATTCAAAAAAGTAAAAACTTACAAAATTACAAAGATAAAATTTTTTAGTTTTTTTCAAAAATGTTGTTTTGAAATGACATAAAATTGTATCAAAAGGATATTTTCAAAAAAATTAAAACTTCTCGAAATAATGAGTATAGACCCTTAAAAGGACCACCCTGTATGCAGTAATTAATTTTTGAATTAAAACAAAATTATTTTTTTCTATAAAAATCCTTTAAAGACAAAAAAAATGTTATTTAAAAAATACGCACATATATTATTGTAAATCCAGTGCATTCATTCCTCTGCTCGGGGTTTTCAAATATATATCAACCTGTGGACTAGAAATTTTCACCAAATATTCATATTAGCATTTATTAAACATGATATAATTTTCAAAATATTTTGTGATATTTATAAATATCTAAAATTTTCGAAATTTTTGTGCGTAAAACAAATTTTGTTTGTGAGTAAAAAAGTTTGAAAATGTTATACAAGGTTAGTGTAACATATGTCATATAGTATTAGTACCTTACCTCAATTAAAACACATCACAAATACATATTTACATTTTTTATAGATATTTCAAGTTTAAATTTTAATAAAATTGGGTCTTTAAACAAAAAAACAATTTTAGATATTTTATTGTACTTCGAAGGGACTTGAAACTTTTCGTTATTGCACATATTCCAGTTTTTCCGTTGACATTACACTTCGTGCCGATCAAACCAATAACACAAATTAATCAGCACTTCACATGAAATTATGAGATAGGGAATTCCCCATTTTTTTTTAAAATATGATTTTGAACTTCCACCGAGTTTCAGGTCATATTGTTTGAGACATTTAAAAGATATATTATGGATGTGGAATAAATAAGTGAAACATGTTGGATAATGTGAAATTAATGATATATGTATATTCAAATCTGTTTTGTTGGATAAGTAGATCAATCGGTATATTGATAGATGTGATGATGGACAAAAATTACCAAATATTTTGTACCTTTTGGCGAAAAAGTGTTCACACTTAATAGTGGATTGTACGTGTACGGTGTACGTATGTAAGTTACGGATACATTTAATGATAATTTACTACCTATTCGACCTATTCAAAAGCTCACAGCTCGTACGCATGTATTCTCCAAAACTATTGTCTATTATGTCAAAAACTTATTCCTATAGGAACGGAAAGTTTTAACATTTTTTACATTTTATACATATTCAGGGCTAACATCTCCGACAAATTTTAACTAACCTTACATTAGTGGCTCGTGGTTGTCATTTTAAAATTAAAATCATCCAGGCACCCAAGTATAATTTTGTCAATTCAACACACAAGGGCGGAAATTATATAAAATAAAGAAACCCTAATAATTTTTACGATATGAGCTAAAAAAAAAAGGTAACCTCTCTGGCGCTCTGCTGCAGTATTGTACCTACTTCGGTGGTGTCAAATGTATTCAGTAATAATACCTTTAAGTACTTCGACAGAACACCAAACACCAGATTACCCGAACGTCCAAAAACAGTCTTTTAATAATTTAACGATATTTTGTCATTCCACGTAATCGTAATCATAGATTAGATATTCGCTGCCTTAGTTAACCTTTATTAAACATTGTTCTATGATTATTTTGTATAAAAATATTATTCCATACAATTATTATCGAACGCTGATTGTCGGCTGTAACACCGCGAATTCGATATTCCTATGTATTGTGTAATATTTCAATTATCCGGATGTTTGCATATTTTGACCTTCCTCGAGTCTTCGACATTAATTAGTGCGGACAATCGGCGTTCTGCTGTCTTACCTAAGTCACTGTTCAAGTGTTATATATTATGTTCAATTTGAATTCTTTGGCCAACTATGGACTTGAAAATGGTCTGTCAGCCAGCTGTATATTACAATACTATAGTGTAATATATATTATTATATTCTAATTATATTTTATGATTTATTTATTATAATAATTTATTTTACCATTATAGTAGGCAATACGGTAGGTCAAAATGTCAAATTGATTTTTGCTAAAAACATCGAATTTGTTATACTATTATAATAGTACGATAAACTTATTAGTAGGGTCCGGAACTTGATGCATTTGTTGTTTATAGACTGCTGTGGCCGACCCTTCGATATATGTATAAAATATTATTGACGATGATTTATTGATAGTATAAAAATGCCTAAACACACAATGTCGGATAATACTCGATTGAATTATTTAGTAAATCAAACTTTTCGATAGATCCCTTCGAATTTTTTAGCTCAATGGCAATAAACACCATCGTGAACTGCTTTTATTGAGCGATACTGCACCTGATATTATGGTCCAAGAGGGTAAAGCCATTAAGGTATTTTATTCGAAGAGTGGCGGAAGAAATTAGAAAAAATTCCCAAAAGTCGATCAACTTATTTTGAACTACAATCAAATATTTTTTAAGGATCCTTCGAGAGTACAGATTTTCAAAGAGCTAGCACCTAATATTTCCTTGGCCTTACAACCTGTGTAAGTAGGTGGAAAACTTAGTTAACGGCAGCCTTTTATTATTGTAAACATTTTGATACAATTAAAAATATAATCACGAAACTGGACAAAAATTATGCTCATTCCATTGAAAAAGTAGGTATCTAATTGATTTGATCACCAATCAAGATTTAAAATTAAATTTAGTTTACTTAAAATTAAACTCTGGATTGTCACCAAATTTAATCACACGATTAGAATCGTCAAAAATATTAAAATTTACGCTCTAATATCCAGTGTTACAATACTCCAAATTTCAAATGTTCATAAAAATATTTGTGGAATTACGTCCAACTTTATTTTAATTCCAATAATAACGACTTATAAGAAACCTTGTACTTAAGTTTCAAACTTTTTGACAATTTTTCAATGAAACAAATACCACTAAGATCCAATTTATTTTTAGAAACCACCCTCAAAGTCGAAGATTTAAGTATTTTTTCTACAATAATTCGGGTAAGCTTACATAAAAAAACACACTTCATTGTAAAATCAATACATATTCCTAAGATGTCCGATGAAAACCCAAAATATAATATTATATTATAATTCTTCTTAAACTATAAACATTAAACACCCTGTATAATTATATATCATTTTACCCTATTTATCTTTTCATACAGTTCACTAAGGTGTAAAATGTGTAGGTAAGTACTAAGGCTTCTGTCTAGAGTATATACGTAGGTACTCTTAGACTCGTTTATTGATATCGTACAAATGATAGGCAGTTTTTATGACGAAAATAAAGTAAATCCAAACAAAGGTTTAATAATGATGAAAAATTAGTTAATAAACTAAGTAAGTATCAGGTATGTGTATTGTGCATGACTAACAATCTGTAAAAAACACAATAATTCAATTCAGTACTATTATACCAAAATACAAATATAAAATATTAAAGAATTTAAAACTTATTTTGAATTTTTAAACATATAAAAATTAAAGGCAATTTTTTCTATAAAATATTTGTATACCTACTTGATTAAATATTATCAGTACAGTTTAAGTCACAAAAGCAAAAAATAACTCCAGCGAATTGGCAAATAAGTAATAGTTACTAATTATAAATAAACCTTGTTCACATTTTTTGTCTTATCAACTGCTGATCAATAAATCATATAATAATTATCACATAAACATATTATAATATTATAGTTATATTATGTCTATGTAATTATCATATTGTCACATTAAAAAACTAAGACCATAATTTAAAATTTAAATTAATTCAAAATTTAATTAAAACTGGATGAACTTGGCGTTTAATACTTCTATAGAGAAATATGATTTTAAATGAATAAAATAATAAAATAATTCGATTGATTGTTATACCTGTTTTAAATAGAGGATGAAAAAAAATGGTAAATCAAGTATGAGTAACATAAATAATAGGTAGGTAAACCTTTTAAGAAATATATGTTGTGCAACTATACAAGTTATAATGTGAGTTATGAGCATTTTTAAATTGTAATATTTTACAGAGGTAAATATAACAACCATGACTCATAACTTGCTTAAAAATTAAAGTATCATAAGAAACACATGGAAACACAGATGCGTTTAGCTCTAACCTTAACATTTGATAATTAATTCAATTCGCTCTTTTATTCAGTTGCCAGACAAAATTCTTACAGCTGAACACAGATGTGCTATGTTGTGAGTATGTACGGTAGAGACAACACACGCTAGTGTGGTGTACTCATAAACAAATATTTTTAAAAGTATATTTTTTGATTTTTATGATGGGTACCTACTGCACAATGTTCCCTTTATAAACTGAATTTATTAATGCAACATTTATTAGTACCCATAATGCTATAAATTGAATAAACAAATCATATTCTTAGATAACATGTTTGAAGTTTTTTTAGCAAATAATATTAGGTTTGTATAAGTAAATACAATAAAATGCCTAGTTATTACCTACTAAATAAGTTTAAATTTATAATTATTACATAAATTGGATAGCATTTTTCTTGTCTACATCGTGTTATAATGATTATAACTTAGTAAACTGTTGGTTATGAACTATGAAGTATTGGAGTAAACTATACGTCTATACTTGTATGTCCAAATATTGAGTAACCAACATAAGTATTTGAGCTTTGTAAAAGTCACAATGTTAACACTAAGTTTATTGGGTATGAAATCATTGGAGTTTGAGTACAAAATTAACCATCAGTTAGTTTTCATATTTTAAACTAAAAATTAAAGTTTAAAAGCAGAAATACAATTATAGTTTTAAAAAATATAGTTAGTTATAAACTTATAAGGCATTCATTTATAATCAATAATTCATACAACAATATTAAATAGTGTACATAGGAATATGATGGCTTTCACAGAATAATATACAATTTTGAAATATGTAAAAACAACGTACACTAAATACAATACATTATTAAATATTACTTTTTCTTCTGTTTCATTTTATTTTTTCTTATGATCATTTCTTCAACCGTTATGTCCACGTCCATTTTACCATGTTCATGAGGGTCACGCTGGAGTACACCTAGTTTTTTCATCATATTCTCTACATCAGGATTCTTACCGTTAAATGATAGCCTTGACATAGGTAGAAGATCATAAAACGGTTCCCAATTATTAATCTTGGAAACATCTTTTTTCTTTGGTCTATGTTCAGATTTAATTGTTACAGCTTCTTCCTTTGTGTCTATACCCGGATTCATAAACTTCATTTTCATTAACGCCTTAGAAAAGTTTTTGTGGGGATCTATTTTTATTGACTTTACTTTAACCATTGTTGCAATAATTATTTTTAGAATAATTAAAAAAAAAAACAATTAATTATATTTTAAAACTGACGTCTATGATTTAAGCTTTAAAGAGAAAAATATTAGAATACAGGACAGGTCGGGTTCACACTTTAACAGTTTTGTTGCATGGTCGTTGATAGATAATTTATTATCACGATATAACAAATAATGATAACATTGAACAAAATAGTTGATAAAAAAAACCAACAGTGTAGCCAAGATAATTAAAATGTCCCAGCTACTATTGCCAATACTATATTTACTATATAGTATAAATATTAAACAATATTATACAAATTACAAAATATGCAAATAAATAAATGTACTGTTTACGAGATTTTATTAAATAATTATACAAAATTTTAAATCAAATTATTTATAAAACTTTGGTTTATCAATCAAGATTTTTAAGGAAGGAATTGGAGTGTATCGATATCGATATGTATCCGATCAATTTTGAGCTTTCAAAAAGTTACAAGTGCAACATACGAGCGATACGTACCGCCCATATCGAACTCAGACTCCAATACGACTCGGTACTTAACTATTCCCTATTGATAGGTATCGAATTTTTCTTCTTAAAAACTTTATATCATTGCCCATTAAATTGGGGAATAAATCCATAATGGTGATAGTCGATGGATGCCGATATGATAATTCCCGTTAAAACCAAAGAAAAACCCATTATTGTGTCTAAAAATATATACATTGATTCAGGAGGGAAATGTCTCAGTCCAGGGGGAAACGTCCAGTACAGCTAAAATTTGCAAAAGGGGAAAAGTCCAAATACCGCCTAGTATAAGGATTATACCTGGTTTTTGGAAATTATATGCTTTGTTTTCAACCATGAATCTTTTTAAAATGTACAGCTTGTAGGGTTGCGCATTTATAAGTGTGCATATTTTGTCATGGCCTATCCATTCTTATATTATCAATGACAAATCTGTGGATGATTATAAAATAATGGTAAGCATGATATTATTATAATAATTAAATATAAAGAAGTCCACGCCATCTATTCTGGCTATCACATACCATCACAGAACGATATGACGCACTGAGTGCTAAAATATAATCGATTTTACTAATATTCAGTTAACACTTAACTGGACAATTTTTCGGTGCAATACCTATTTTGTATTCAATTGAATTTGCACTGACAACAATGGTACACGACTCATAACCGCGGATTCACAGTGCTCATACTATTATTGTATTTTATGATATTATATGAACTCTATTTTTTCTGTTAAGAGGTCAAATTTTGTTTTCGTATTCGATTGTCTCGATTTAATAATAACTGTTACAGTACTAATATGTAATGGTAGTATAGTTTGATGCATCATGTAGTTATAAGTCCACTACAAAACTTACAGCTCTATGTATACTTTCTTTCCAGTTTTCGTGCTTTCTATTTTAGAAGTTGTGTTCACGAACGTAAAAACTGGTATACTAGTATAGAAGTTATCATACTAGAAGAATCTTGGAAACTACAATCATGATGTAGTATTCGTGCGAAACGGGCTTGAGTACAAAAAAACTTCATTTTCAACTATTTAACAATTCATGTTCTTTAATACTGCATCGGCAGGCACGTAATCAGAAAATATTCACTAGGTGGGCCAATGTTAGATGGGCCCCCTACCTAAATATACTACCTTGTACCTTGTATGGGTGAGCCCCCTACTTTTTTATATTATAAAAAGGTAGTTATCAGAATATCATTACAATAAATATAATATATTATATATTATATTATATTATAGCTATATAGCCTAATAATACCATAGTTTATCATTAAGCCAATAAGTGTGATAAAAAAAAATTTGAATAGTTTAATGCTCTTATAATTAAATAAATGATAAAAGTGGGAATATTATAGTAAAAGAATATTTAGAATATTTTTATTTATACAGCTAGTTTCTATCATAAGTTATGGTCGAACAAAATTACATTTTATTTCTTAATAGTTTTTTTAAGAAAACGTGTAATGTTGAAATCATACAACGGTTACATCGCATTGCAAAAAAAAAGTAATTTAAAAAAATACAATATTTTTATTTAATTTTGTTTATTTTTTAACTGTTAATTTTGAAAATATATTTTATCCATTGGAAACTCTAATTCTTTTAAATCTAACCCTTTATCTAATCATATTCAAATATAAAAACAAAATTGTTAAATTTATAGAATAATAATAATAATAATAATAATATTGGTTCATTGGTTATTTCTAATCATTAAAAAATACTTTTCTAAAAATGATCAAATTACTTATAAAATGTTTAATATCTGTATTTAAAATGATCTTCTATTTAATATATTTAAAATAAATACTGTATAAATATTTACTTATAGTACCTAACCTACCTATTTTAGGTCTTCTCTAAGTAATTATAAAATATTTAGTTTTTTTAAATCATATTAGTTTTTATATAGGTAGTGGTTTTTTGAAATTCCATATGAATCTTTATAATGGCAACACCCTTGTTCAAAAGTATTTTAAAAATAGACATAAAAGTATACAACAGTCACTGTCTTGATAAGATAAGAATAACACGGCATGCTAGTATACTAGACAGTATGGTGCCAGTATGTGGCTTTAAATAGCAATTATTTCCTAATCAATCGTTGACGATATTATGACTTATAAAAATAAATTATCAATGATTCTTGGTAGCAATGGAAATCAAACGTAATACAATATACATATTTTATTCCAGAAATGGACATGGATTGAATTTAGTTACGTAACTTATATTAGATTCTAATTAAAACCCTATATTTGGTTTTATTTGTGTAGTATTAAAAAAAATTAAAAATTAGATTAAAATCCATCGTATAATAATGGGCCCCTCTGAATACCTTGGGTGGATCAGGCACATCTTGCCCCCCACTTCGCTATGTGCCTGCGCTACGGGATCCCAGCCATACTTACCTGATTGACTTCGGCGCTCATGGAACCTGGCAATCGGAAGTGTCATACTCAAAGAGAATTCATAGCCTAAAATATTGGTCTGCTTTGAGAAGTGCCAAGAAATATGACAAGTTATGATTACAACTCTAAAGATGATTATACTGTTTTTTAAATTTTTTCTCAGCCAAGACGTTTAGGAAGCGATGATTCTTTATTTCAATATATCAATTATTATTGGTTGACACATAATTGTAGCACTCACTAATATTTAAAATCGGAATATCCAATTACATCAGTACAGAATATGTATACTTGTTGTGCTAACTAATGTTACACTCATTTTCGTTTAGTATAGATAATAATGAGCTCAGACACCAAGATCAGCAATATTAATGTGACCTATCATCATGATCTGATGATAACTAACCCTTTTTAATGGTTAAGAATTTTTTGAAATTCATCAATGAATGTTTACTTAAGAGACGCAAGAAATATTAAACATAAACGAAATATAATGAATTGAAAAATTCTTAAATGTTATCAAAGTGAACCACTCAGACTGTCCACATACCTTCCAGCTAGCTGGTTGCGATCATCGTTGCTAGGTGGTCATCACTGCGAACAGTAGACCACCAGCCGCCTCACGCTCTGGTACATGGACAAGTCTCATCATCGTGGCCAATGACGACTCCAGATTTGCACCTGGAGGGGACGATGCATACTACAGAAATGATCCTGTGAAGTATGATCTTAATTAAATCGTCGACACCGGCACGTACTTATAATGACAGTCGGATGCTTAACACGGGTTTCCCGCACACTGACACATCGAATTTTGGCACTATGGTCGACGAACTCATTGACTGGAAAGTACTCAGACACACTATGTTTGTCTATTGAGTGATCGTTTTGTTAACAGAACTCAAGTACAGCGAGTCGGACCGTCCAAAATCGACGGAGAACGCGATTCAATGGCTAGGTACAGTAGACGTACAACGCTAGAGCCATCTAGCGGCACCCGTCGGCCTAAATATTAATTCTAGTCGCCGTCCGCCATACGCCGAGTGTAAATGTCTTCGACACTGTCTAAATAAAACGGTGTTGTCACTTATCGTCCACGAATATTGAATGTTCTTTTTCATGCACTTGTTGCAGTCGTTGCCCGCTAAGAAATCATGTTTTGATTTAGCGTTATAATGCACGTATAAAAATATATTAGTTCATAGTTTTACTCTATGCATTCCACTTTACTTTGACTCGTATTAATATATTTTTGTGTTTTTAGTTTAGTGTACGTTTTACCTATTAGGTACTTATTTAATTTTTACTACAATATGTCAAATAGAAAATTAAATATTCTTGTGTAATATTTTTTACACGTAGATCGACGAAGTGTTTTTGTTCTGATATACACTAATTGATTAGTGATTACTAATAGGTAAATAAAAAACATTAAAAAGTCTGGTTTATTGATTATACAAGTATATTTGAATTACATTACCTAATATAATAAATTAAGCACATTACACATGAATATTTAATTTTATATTTGACATATTGTAGTAAAAATTAAATAAGTAATAGGTAAAACGTACACTAAACTAAAAACACAAAAATATATTAATACGAGTCAAAGTAAAGTGGAATGCATAGAGTAAAACTATGAACTAATATATTTTTATACGTGCATTATAACGCTAAATCAAAACATGATTTCTTAGCGGACAACGACTGCAACAAGTGCATGAAAAAGAACATTCAATATTCGTGGACGATAAGTGACAACACCGTTTTATTTAGACAGTGTCGAAGACATTTACACTCGGCGTATGGCGGACGGCGACTAGAATTAATATTTAGGCCGACGGGTGCCGCTAGATGGCTCTAGCGTTGTACGTCTACTGTACCTAGCCATTGAATCGCGTTCTCCGTCGATTTTGGACGGTCCGACTCGCTGTACTTGAGTTCTGTTAACAAAACGATCACTCAATAGACAAACATAGTGTGTCTGAGTACTTTCCAGTCAATGAGTTCGTCGACCATAGTGCCAAAATTCGATGTGTCAGTG